GCCTGGGTCGTGGTCTCGATCCCTACTGGGGGACGTGCAGGAGGCAGCTGATCCATGATTCTCTCTCATCAATGATGTTTCTATCTCTCTCCCTTTCTCTCTGAAATCAATAAAAATATATTTTTTAAAAAAAAAGACATGGAATCTAAATGGCTCATGGTGATCCCTAGACAATCCATAGAATCTTTTTAGGGACATATAGAGATGTCTTTGTAAATTAAAGTAGAGAAATGATTGTGGCTTATTGAATCCAAATAAGAATTTAGGTTGATCACTGTGTTAGATAAACTTTTAAAAAAATACTCTTGTTTTACAGTTCCTTTTCCTTATTATTGGATTTTTAGAGAGATGAATGGAGGGAGGGAGGAAAAGAGAGGGAGGGAGGGGGAGAGAGAGAGAGAGAGGGAGAGAGAGAGAGAGAGAGAGAGAGAGAGAGAGAGAGAGAAATGTCAATGTGAGAGAGTCCCCAACCTGGGTATATGCCCTGACTAGGATTCGACTAGTTGCCACCTGTACATGCACTTGCCCCAACCAGGGGACAGGTTGCAAACCCACAACACAGGCACGTGCCCTTGACCTGGAATCGAACTGCCGATGCTCCAACCACTGTGCACACTGTCAAGGGTTATACATAATTTTAGCTTTATTTTTGTACCATGTAAAACCTTTAAATTAGGTTACCTAGAAAAATAAATATAATATGTTTAAAACCACAGATTGATATCTTTAGTATTATAGGAAAAAAATCCTTACATTACACAAAATAACATCAGATGCTGCACTTTAGGGTATATTGCTTTAATTAATTTACATCAGTGCAAATTTTCTGCTATTTTATGGTTTTCAAAGTTTTTGGTTTTGAAATCCTATTTATAGACTATTAAAAATTAGGACCCCAAAGAGCTGTTGTTTAGGTTATATCAGTGTTTACCATATTAGAAATTTAGAAGGAGAAATTTGTGTGGGGGGTGGGGGAGGGGAGGGAAGGGTTTTAGTGGGAAGAATGGCTATTTTTTTATATATATATATATATATATATATATATA